CAAAAAACATTTTTTCCTACATGATATATATATATATTCGGAATCACCGTGAAAAACTGCAAGGATGGTATATAATTCATCTGAATTCGGTCCTTCCGTTCTGAATTCTATAAATTTCTTAGATTTGGGATTCACACGAAGAACTTCCAGTCGAAGATCTGTGGATCACAGATGAACGCTACTTGTATCAATTATAATTTAAATTACAAAAAAAAACAATAGACTAATTCGTTAAAAATATTTTATAAAAATAACGTGATGTATGCTGGAAGTCTATTTACTAATGAGCTAAAAATAGAAGAGTTACTGTCTAATCTAAGTTATCACTTAAAAATGGTACAAAGAGACGATTGTGAGTCATTATTTTCCATATTTTCATACCGTTTTCTCAACACAAATGCTGCAGATTTTGGTTGACGCTGTCGTGTAAATATACCTTTATAATTTTTTGCTCCCACTCTTGTTATACCCTGTTCTGTTTCGAAATCAAATGCATTCCAAATTAATTCACCCACAAGAAAACCACTGGTTGTATTTTTTATAGATGAAAACATATCAAAAACCAAATGATATTCTTTAAGAAATTCTTGTTGATATTCTTCCGAAAACATTACAGGCGGATCGGCATGTAAACCCGTCACAGTATCAGCTCCATATTCACTAATAATTACCGGTTTTTTAAATGTATCCCACCATCCTTGAACTTCTGCAGTTAGTGTTACTGATATTCGATCTAATCGTCCATATTCACTATACCAACTAAAATATTTGTTAATACAAATTACATCGAAATATTGAGCAGCTTTCTCATTTGAATAGTGTTGATCACTAACAAATGTGATGGGTCGAATCGATGACCGTTGAATTGAACGGGTATATGCAACTAGTGTCTCAAAATATGAATCAGATTCGGGTAAATTTGAAGATGGTTCATTTGCCAGTGACCACATAACAACACTTGGATGATTTTTATCTCGTCGAATCATTTCACCAATTACTTGTTTATGATGAGCTAGAGTTGTAGGTGAAAAATAATTTTTTTGACTTAGACCAACAGCCGGTGTTTCATCAATAATCACAATTCCATATTGATTTGCTATTTGATAGAATTGATCTGAATAAGGATAATGAGATGTTCGAAAAGAGTTTGAATGTAACCATTGATATAAATTAAGAAATTTCACTAACAAAACATCATTGTATCCTTTTCCTCGAAGGTCACTGTCTTCATGAGCATTTGCACCATGAAAATAAAATGGTTGATTGTTTATTAAAAATGTTGAACTTGTTACAGTAACAGTTCGTATTCCGACGTGTGGTAAACGATAAATATCGATTAAAGGTGATACATTTTCAGACAATGATACTTGCAATGTATAAAGATAAGAATGTTCTGAACATAAATGAGTATTTGGCATACCACATGGTTGCCATAACTGAGGATTTTCAACATACAATGTACCTTCCATTGAACCACTATTGTTTGTCGCAACAATTCGACCATCAGCATCGACTAAATCCACTTTTACATGTGTTTTTTGAGTATCTGAACCAGTTATAACGATCGAATAGGTTAAAATTGCTGATGTAGCAACACCACCGCTAAAATTGATACTGGCAGTAACTACTGTCACATCATCAATGTACGTTTCAGGTGTTGTGTAGAGAAGAACCGATCTATCAATTCCAGCGTAATTAAAAAAGTCAAAATGTGTCTGTAATAGGCGATAAGTCGAACTAATAATTGTTAATTCACCAGGAGGAAGAGTAGTGGGTGTTAGTGTGTTATTGACTGCAACTGTTAATCGTATAGGTACATTTTCTTGCTCAATATAAGGTCTAATATCACATTCAAACGGCAAATGGCCACCCTCATGTGTCATAACTTGTTGTCCGTTAATCCACACCATAGTAAAATAATGAGCTGCTTGAAATCTCAATACAATTCGATCTGTACTTGACAACCAACTAAGATGCACGTAAAAATAGCGTTCATACCATGCCCAACCCACATGGCGTTTTAAAGAAATATTTTGAGTTATATCATTGTATGATGACGGAACTGGCATTGAAATCGTATTGTTCACTAATTCCGATAAATACCATTTTTCATCAATACCAGTATTATTGTCATCTAGTTTAAATGTCCATATACTATCTAACGAGCGAACTTGTCGAAATTCATTTTCATATGGAAATAGCATACCACCTGTTAACTCATTAACAGTCTGACCTCTCAATGCACGATTATGCACGAAAAATACACATAAAGTTAGAAGTAAATGCATATCTTTTGGTTTTGTACTATTCGATCATCTTAAAAGAAAAACTATTTCAGCAGATTAAACACTTGTCGATATTCCATTCAAAAAACCTTAGTTGAAGATAAATAATATATGCTGATAGCTTACAGTAGGAGTCTTACTTTTGCGAGAGAAACGCACATTTATCAGTACACGTGTATATTTGTTCTGTAATCAAAAAGACTAAGGTAAACTGTTCGCTTTCTTTTTCGTGGTATAGAAAGAAAAATAGAGAAGGGTTGCCTCAAACAGAAGTATTATACTTCTAGTTCACGACACACCCTCAAATGACAGAACGGATGGGCCAAAGGAAATGAGCCCTTTAGTATTTTTCCTTTATCTCTTAATACTTCAGTACCCTAAAGTTCATTCTTTTTTTAAAATATGCGCTGTACAATTCTAGTCACGATCGTACATAAATCGTCTGATAAAAAACCAAAACCTCAGTTTTGATCGAAGAACAGTAACAGTCATGCAGAAGCCTTAACTTCGAAAAGTCTTTTAATGAACTTGATCGGCCGTAAAAATCATGCTAGTAGTTGTCTAATGTGACACTTGGATATTGCCTTGCACTATCAAGTGTGCTTTATCCGACGAAATCAAAATCCAGCTGTCTCAGTTGACTTTCGGAACAAAAATCTTTGTTTCATAATTTTACTCACCAAATCCTAAGAATTTTCGAAGGAGAGAATCGACAATTTTTGATAAGCGATATCATCGGTTCTTTCTTCGTGACTCTGATAGAGAAATCATTTCTGTACAAAATAATGCAATAATCAGTTATTTAGCTCAGTTTTGACTGACTTATAGTGATTTTACTAGAAGGTGCCAAACTGCGTGTCCGAAAATGGTAAAAGTTGGGTTTGTACCATTTCGTAAATCTTTTATCAAAAGGTCAAAAATAATGACATAAACTTTTCGTATCATTAGTCGATAGAGTTTTTCAAGAGCTACATTTTAGACTATTTATAGTTCATTCAATCAGAAAGTCTGACTTCCTTTTTGAAAAAGAAGAGTCTTTTGTTTAGGAAGTTGAGGCTTTAGGACGACTGTTGCTTTTCTCCAATCAAAACTAAGGCTTTGATCTTTATCAGACTATTTATATACAATCGTGTATAGAACTGAACAGCGCATTGTTTAGAAAAGAATAACCTCTAGGGAGCTGCAGTATCAAGAGATAAAGTAAAAATACTAAAGAGCTCATTTCCTCCCGCCCACCCGTTGTATGGTGTAGCATTTACAAACAGCCGTTGTATCCCAAACCACTCAAACTTTTCGCTCAGCTTTATCATAAAGTTGCGCATATAAAAATACGTATTTCTAAAATCTTCATCTAGCTAAGTTATGAGACAGATTTACCAAAGCGAGAAATGAATTCAGAAAGAAATATACTCCCTTTTTAGTATTAGATCATAAAAAGAATAAATCATTTACTCAACATTAACTAGTTCCACGGCTCTTGAAATTTTAGTTATACTAGTTTAAAAGAAAATTTCATAAGTTTCGTAACAGTAAATAATATTCCTATTTCATCCGTATCAATAAGACGTGTCTAATATGTTATGTTTATCGAATTATTCTTAGCAGTCTATTGTGGACGATAAATTGCGATTTCTATTGAAAAATGGACAGTTAATCACTCTTTTGACCAGGATAACCAATTAACTTGAATATATCAGCAATTTATTTGCAAAACTGTTCTTTCATCGACTTTTTAGAAAAATTACCGATATATCTCAGTTTTATTGGTGACCAAAGTCAAAATCGTACTTAATTGTTTATTTTAATTACAAAAGCATTTCTTCTTTTTATAATTCTTTCGCGATAGTCCACATAACAGTTTTCTACACATTTTACGTTTTTCTTTTATTAATTTAACCTATTCAGCCAGGAAAAAACTACATAGATCAATATGGAGCAGTTTAAACTGAGTTACTGACGACATAAATAAGTTCTACAGCACGAAATCGAGAGTCGTAGCAAGAGAACGTATAAGGAAACTGAGAAATAGCGTAACTTTCAAGTCGTAAAAAAAGCGTATGTGAAAATCAAAATCGTATAGAATACTCTTATATACGTGAAATCCGTTTAATAAATTTCATGACAACTCATAAGTAGAACATCCGGGAGGAATGACTATAGAAACTGATAGGTATTTACGAAAATAGGAAAGAAAATCCCATGACCACAGAAACCAGTCAGCTCTATTATTTGTCTACAGAACTCATGTATAAGCAGCATCCATTTCTGCATAATTTCGAAGTTTTTACTTCGATTTTTTTCTTCCATTGATAAACAAGTTATTGAAACTTGACAAAAAAAGTAGCCACACTGAGGAATAGTATTATGATTAGGTTGTCTGATGGGATTTCTTTTTTCGACCTGTACCATACTAGGGTTGTGACAGTTACCAGTTACCGTTACCATCGTTCCCCGTTACTAACGGTAACTATAATTGACATAAAACTAATAAGCATCGTTCCTCCTTAGTAGAGGTAATGGTAATTCATATACAGTAAGAAATCCTTTACCCTCCAGTAACGAGGAACGATGCTTTTTAATTTTATATCAGTTACCGTTACCTCTAGTAACGGAGAACGCTGGTAACGGTAACTGGTAGCTGTCACAGCCCTATACCATACTAATAAAAGCAAGCTGCAAGATGTAACCGAAAGTAATTTATTTTTATTTTTTTCTTAACTAGTTGAACTCCTAGCCGTACCAGTGAACTGAATCTAGTTGCTCATAAACTATTGTAGCTGATTTGAAATTTTAAACAAAACATTAATTATGCGAAAAGAACTCCAGCAGAAACTTTTAATTTTGGACGCTATAATCATATTTTAGCTTTTAAAAAAGCAGCATTCGTGATATCTTGAAGACTATTCCATATGTTCACATGCGGAAAACTTTTTGTACGAAAAACGCTCTACACTATAAAGTTGAAAATTATTTATGGAAAATGCTCGGCGAATTTCAAAGAGTACCTGTAGGGATTTCTCGAGGATTTTCCAGTTTATAGAAAATCGAATTTCCAACAATCTACAAAATTGTCGGTGAATTTCCATAAATATTTCCCAAGAAAGTAGAAATTCCTTTTTGATTTTCTTCTATAAACTGCGAATTCTTCGACGGGTCTGTGTAAAGGGGCGGTACAACCAGACTGTATTGGGGTTGACTACGCTCCCTCATGCTTTCGAGAAATTTCTGATGAACGTCTCCGATTTTGGGACCTTCCTACCGAATCTCTGCCTAAATCAAAATTTTTGCCGGCATAGGCAGAATTGTGATCTAAAGTAGAAACTGTCAAAACTGATTTAAGTGTTATATGAGTGTCTTTACGTGAAGCTCTTATACCTACACTGATTGCAAAACAAAATAGTGAATAAGTATTTGATCTAGAGATACCTGGGTGAATTTCCGCTTTCTAGAAAATCGATCGAATTTCTATAAATAGCTCCTTCAGAAAGAAAAATTTCCAGTTTATAGAAAATCAGAATCGAATTCCAGATCGAATTTTCAGATTCTTGGAAATTATTTCTAGAAAATCGAATTTATGGAAATTCAAGTCGATTTTCTATAAAGTAGAAAATCAACATTTTCTAGAAAGCTGAAAATTCGGCGAGGAATTTCTATAAGCTAGAAAATCCTCGATGATTTTCTATAAACTGGAAATTAATTCAGGATTACAGTGTAGGACGCCTTTAAGAGACTCTTGCTCGATTCACTACCATACACCTAGATTGCCTTTGTCACGCATAACGAATGCATAGTCCATGCAACTCGATTGCGTTCTCTCACATGAATTGGGTGCATTCGAAAAAACAACGCATTTTTAACGGATGAACAATAGAATTCAGCAAACGAAGAGTTAGAGAGAAGGTAAAACCATGAATGCACTCAAAGAAACAATCGGCAAAGAAGGAAGACTTTCGTCTTGTGGATTTCTCTTAAGCCTTCGCTCCCACGGGTCAGAAACCTATCTCAGCCTAGGTAGGTCTGATCTGAACCAAACTTTCAGGGAATGTTGACCTGTCAAAGTGTGGTAACGAAATTTTTTTGGCATCATCTGCAACTGTTCGGAGGAGGGCGCCATGACAAGGACCAAAAATAGGCGTCTATCACGTGCAAGAATTTTGATTCCAAGTAAATGATAGAGAGCTGGGGGCTGTTTTGTCTTTTAGTAAACACCTATGGCTAGGAGTTGACAGAGCCTGATTTTTGAATTTCTCATTTACTGATTTCTGGTGCTTAATAGAACTTTAAAGTCTAAAAAATCCTTGGAAGGTTTCTTAGAAATCCTGATTTCTATAAAAAGGTATAACTTAAAAATCGGACTCTGTCAACTCCTAGCTATAGGTGTTATCTACAAATCAAAAAAAAATTTTCTTTTTCCGATGTACCGTTACCGAGAATTCCTGCACATGGCGAAAGCCCTGAAGGTAAAGAACAGTCTTTGAGAAAAACGCAAAATAAGTTTTCATTCTGCTAAATGCATTTTACTTAAAAACTGTTTGAGCGTTAAATAATTTGTCAATATTTTGCTACAGGTTATCGGTCATGGCGGATCTAACGAACATGTGCACAGTCATGTGCAGCAAATGCGTGCAAAAAAGCCAAATTTTTTTGCTATGGGGCTTCTGGAAAACTCGCTCACAAGCTATGAAAAACCTATCCTATCGATACAAAAATTATATGATTAGAAAGTAGACGCTTTGGGCTATCCAACCACGTGCTTTTCTCAAAATCAATATTATTGCCGAAATCGGCATTTCTGACTCGGGGAGGAGGGCTTAAAGCGCTTAATCAGACATGCCTCCGGTGATCTTATGTTTGACTGAGAATAGCACTCTTTTCTTCGTTAGCGTGTTCATTTCATAGTGCCTTTACTCTTGTTAACTCGAAAATCCTCCTAGCATTAAAAAATGAGGTGCTTTTGCCGCGCTGCACCAAATTTGATGAAAATAAGGTGGTATATGCAGAAT